GGGGTGGGCACCGGACTGGGTGGGCAGCGGGCCGGGGTGGGCAGCGGGCCGGGGTGGGCACCAGACTGGGTGGGGAGCGGGCCGGGGTGGGCACCGGGCCGGGTGGGCGTGCACATGCTGCGTGGGCCCACCTCGATGATGTCGGCGTTGGTGCGGCTCTCGTGTGGCTCGTTGTACTCCGTGTACTTGAGCAGCACCTTGTCCATGTCGGTGCTCGCATACTGGAACAGCTTGTTGGAGTGGTTGAAGATGATGAGCGCGATCTCACAGTCACAGAGCACGCTCAGCTCGTACGCCTTCTTCATCAGTCCGAACTTGCGCTTGGTGAATGTCACCTGCAGGCGGTGGAGGGGGGTGGCCCGGTCTGGCTCAGTCAAAGCCCGTCCCGGAGTCCCTGGCCCGGGGATAGACAGGCCAGCACCTCTCTGCCAACGTACGGCCAAGATGCAGCCTAGAGCGGCCTCACTGAAGGGAGAGGATGGATGGACAGAATTCCACACCTCTGTGCCAGGGGCTGTGAAGGGGTCGGGAAGGAAAACAGAAGGGCTTCCTGGATCCTCCCCTGGGGGAGAATGAGGGGGAGAATCCATCTTGGGGAACAGGGCATGCCCAGGCATGGCCTGAGGCTTATGTATGGTTCCTGGGTGGGAAGTGGATGGGGGTTGGGGGTGGGGGACACACAGATGCACCTTCTTACAGCAGCAGATAAGCCTTAGAGTTCTGGGGTACAGGGCTCCAAGAGCTGCAGGGAGGTGGGGGTTCCTCTCTTCCCAATTCAGCCCTTCCCCTTCCATAATAGCCTTTAGAGGCCCCCTCCTCCAGGAAGCCCTCTTGGACTGGCAGGAAGGAGTGGAGGCAGAGGCCAGCTCCCTGCCCTCACCCACTCTACGTGGCTCCAAGACCTCCTCACCTGTCGGTTCCGCTCATCAGTGATTCGCTGGATCTGAATCTTTTTCCTCCCCATCTTCTCTGGGGATCCTCAGTGCTAGGGAGGGGAGGGGATTGCTGGGTGGCAGGTCTCGGCACGCCTCACACTGTGCTCATGAACGGCCTGGAACCAGGGCTCAGTTCATGGTCTGCAGGACACCTTCTGCACAGCGTCCTGGGAAAGGGGGGTCATGAGAGGACTGTCAGCCCCGGTGACCACCAGCACACAGGCCAGGCTCACAGCACCCCTGGGGCAGGCTGAAGGTGTCCACCCCATCCTCAAGATGAGGAGATGGGGGTGCCCTGAGGCAACGGCATGCCACGGCCAGGCACAAGTGGGCACTGACACCCAGGGCCCAGGCCCTGGTCCAGGCTCTTTCCGCACCAACTCTGCTGCTCTCGGGTTCTAGATCACGCAGAGCTGGCTTCCAAGGGTCTCGGTCCTGGAGAACGCCCCAGGCCCTTTCCTCTCCCCAGAATCTGCCTGGAGTAGAGACATCTGGGTCTGCCAGCTGCCCCTCTGGCCTAGGATGGAACTTTCGGTCCTGGCGCCCGGTGCAAAGAGCACCCACCAAGGCCGCACACGGTTTCCACGGGGTACCTGGTGCCAGGAGGGGCGTGCTCTGGTGGCCGGGGCTCAGGAACACAGGGAAGGCTAGAGCCTGGGGGCCCAGAGCTCTCCCTCGCCCCCCAGGGCTGCTCCACACCCATTTCACTCGGTGGGCCTCCACCTCAAAGTTTTGTTTGAAGAGACGGTTCCGCTGCTTAAAATAAATAAATAAACACACCACCCTTGCAGAGCAGAGTCTGCGAACTTTTTCAGTAAGGGAGTCGATGACTACTTCGGGCCTTGCGGGCCATTCGCTCTGGACAACTCCTCGACGGCTGCTGCCGACAGCACGTAAACACGGAAGGCTGGCGGAGCTCCGCTACAACCAGATCTGTAACAGCCGGCCCCGAGGTCACGGTCGGCCAACTCCCGCTCGGGGGACGCGCCCGTGCAGGACCCGAGCTCAGGCTGGGCAGCCCTTCCCAGCCTGGTTCACCTTGAAGCCCGGAGCACGTACTGAGCCACTGGCGTGCACCGAGGAAGTTTCCGGCAGCTGGGCGGAGGCAGGCGCCAGGCAGAGGCCTCCCCACCTCATGCACCTATAAACGGGCCAGGCTTCGCAACCAGGACGGGCGCCAGAGCCCCCGCACCACACGAGTCCAGGATGGGAGGGCGTGTGGGGTCGGAAGCCCAGCCTGACCCAGGAAATGCCCGCGCTCAACTGTGGGCAGTGCCCAAACAGGCTGGGTGAGCCCTCGCGGACTGGCAGGGCCCGGGGTGGGATGGAGGCACACGGTGACCCCAGGGCCCCTTGGGCTCTGTGAATCCAGGAGAATCAGAGGTGGAGCCTTCCAGGAGAAGGGGAGGGGGACAGCGAGCAGGGGGCCAGGCTTTCTAAAGCCACTCTGGGTCCCAGGAAGAGCCTTGTTCACGGAATCCAGCCCGCGCCTCGAGACACCCCCATCCACAGAGGTCCAGGCAGAGACCCTGCCGCAGAGTACAGGGAGGTGGGCTCTCACTGCCCCCCACTGGGGAGAGGGAACAGGCACATCTATCATTTGGAACCCCCTCCCCAGCCCCCACTTCCAGGGGCTGCTCAGTTTTCCTGGAGCCTTTCCAGCCCCGCTCAACCACGGCCCCCAAGGTACCACAGTAGATGCCAAAGTTCAACCTTGGCCTCTCGGCCACAGGGAGCAGGGCAGAGGGGAAGCAGGGAATCTGTGGACTTGGGAGGAGCCAGGAATACCCCTTCCCACCCTGCCCCGTCACCAGGGCTTGTCCCTCAGCCTCTCCCTCGCCCAGCCGGGAAGAGAGTTTCTGCTCTCTCCTGAGATCTTCAGGAAACAATGCTGCTCCCTGACAACTATAGGGATCCTCCACCCCCTCCCCCCAGAGAGGGGTCCCAGAACCTCTTCCTTTCTTCCTTGTCCTCAAGGTGCTCCATGGGCCCTGGGCCTCCTACTGTCCCCCCTCACACACCCCTGGGACAACACCAACACAGCCCAGGCAGCCCCGAGTGGTCCAGCAGCCACCCCATTCCTGCCTAAACCCCTATCTCTGCCAAAGCCCCACGTAGAAGGCCCCAGCCTGAGGACTTCAGCCCCCCGCTTCCCAGTGCAACCCCAAAGCTGTGTTTTTCAGAGCCGTGGTGGTCTGGGCTCCCAGGGAGGGTGGAGAGGGCACGCAGAGGACAAGGGGGCTCCGAAGACGGCGTTTTCACGGAGTCTCTCTAGCCTGGCCTTGTGTGAAGCCTTCCACTGCCGCACGCCCGTGCAGAGCATCCGCCTTCCCTCCATCACCCAGTTTCCTAGCTCCCTCTCGCCGCCTTTTGTGCAGAAGCAAATTCTGGCTGAGATGTGGCCTCTATCAGCTTTGGGCCACTTCTGTCTCCTCCTCCAAGTGGGGAAAGAGAACCCTCTCTGTGCCCTCGTGGCCCCTGCAAAGTCATTCCTCCAGTCCGACCTTGTTCCCTTGGTTCTCAGGGCACCCTGTCCTTTCCCTTCTAGCACTTACCACCACCGTACATTGGCTATGACTCTGCGCTTCTACTCAATGCCTGGCTCCCCAGGAGCTGGAGCTTCACGAGGGCAGGGTCCACATCTGCCCTTTGCACCACTCCACCCCCTGTGAGGAGGAGCTCGGGAAATGTCTGCTCCAAGAAGGGGCTTGTGGCCTAAGTCGGGTCAGTCCCACTGCAGGACCCCCATCCTGTCCCTCTGCCCCTGAACTTGGACGTTTGGACACCACCGACCCTCCAAGCAGGCCTGCCTCTCCAGGCCAGGCCTCAACCCTCCCCATCCTTGGGCTGCCTGGTGCAGAGAGTGAGACTCTAAAGTCTTCTACGGAGCAGCCCAGAGCACATGGAGATGGAGAGGATGGGGTTGCTTAGGCAACTGTCTCCTGGCAACCGGCTCCCTGGCTGATCTCCTACACCCCCCCACCCCCGCTTCATGCTGGGGGAGCTGGGATGCGAGAGGGATCAGGACTGAGGAGACAGGGAAGCCACAGAGACACCCCCTCTCCCCGCCCCCAGCATCCTCTGACCAGAGGGGACTCAGGGGTAAAGAGACCCGCCTGTCCATCCCAGTCTCTGCCAGGGTAGCCCCCAAGCGCTTTCCTAACTCCGCGTTTCCCAGGCCCCCTGCCCACCACTGCTCCCTACCTCTGTGCTAGCACTACCAGAGGACGAGATGCCCCTGCCTTGGGCAGTCCCTCCTCCTACCGAACCAGGAGCCCTCCTACAGAGCAGGCCGAGCCTGCAACAATCTCTCTCGCCTTCTATCCATTCTACCCACTCTACATAGCTGCAGCGTCGGAGAGCCCCGGGGCGAGAACAGGAACTCACCACTGACTTTTGAAAAGGGCGGCTGAGGCCTGGGTGGGCACAGAGGACCTTATGCTGACCCTGTCCAAGCTGTGGAGGCCCATCCCGTCCCACTTCCCTCCTACTCAATTAGGAAGAGCCTAATGAACACCTGGACCTCCTCAATTAGCCCCCTGCCTAATGACCTAACCAACTGCCCAGAGCCAGAGGCCTGGGCATCTGTTCTCCAGACGTGCACCTTTGCCCCCTGGCCTGGCCTGCCCCCGTCCCTCTTCTCCTTTCCGGCCCTCTCCTCCTCTAGGAAGCCCTCCCAGACCTGACTTTTGGCTGTCTCTCCAGGGCTGGAGGGGCTTAGCAAGATGCCATGGACACAGGGGGTTGGCTAGGATGGCTTTCTGGCTCCGCCTGACCTCAGGCCACAGCTATGACTCCTTGGGCTGCTGGCAAGTGTGTCACCAAGTGCAGACCCTGGAAGGCTCCAGCAGCTTCTGCTTCTCCCACTCAAGGCAGCGCCAGCCGGACAGAGCTGGGCAGGGTGGGCCTCCTGGGGGCAGGGAGTGGGGACCGAGAGAGTAGAGGGGCTGGGGGGAGGGCAGCTGGGCCAGACCCACCTTCTTTTTTTTTTTTTTTTAAAGATTTTATTTATTTATTTGAGAGACAGAGAGAATGAGAGAGAGAGA